CGCTAAACTTAATAACTAAGTGTCTTAGAAATTAATTGTTGTAAAAAAACTCATGCCACTTTTTCATCTGATCAGAAGTAAAACCAAAAGCAATTGTGGCTCTCCCATACTTGTTTTCTTGTGTTTCAATTGTCAGCTACATGTTATTACTTCAAGGTTTGAGTGGTTCTAGGTATTATCTGTGTCCTAATTGGGATTGGTTAGATTGATTACTTTGGTTTTGGTGTTATGACATTCAATTGAAAACCACTCTTGGCTAAATATAACAGCTTCCTGAAAGCCAGGATAAGTCAACTCCTGTATAGTTATATTTTAAATTGTTTATTTTGTAGGTAACAGGTGCTAACAAAGGCATAGGATTTGCAATAGTTAGGAAACTTTGCAAAGAGTTCTCTGGAACTGTTATTCTCACAGGTATTAATTGCATTAAATGTACAATTTTAGAATCTTCTGACTTGCTAAAGTCTAAAATTTGGTGCACTGAAAAATGGTAGACTAAGTATAGTTAGTCATAACAATGTTGCTGTGGTCTAGTAAATATCCATAGCAACCCCTTGAATGGTTAATGGTAACNTGCCTGCAGTTGGTTGACTGTGTGTCTTTATGAATGTGTTTGTGATAAAATCGCAAGGATTGCATTCAACACATTTTTTGGATGTTTATTTTAGTATTTGATTTATTGAAGGGTGGTAAATGTGTCATCTACTGCTGGAAAATTGTCTCAGTTATCACAAGAACTGCAAAAGAAGTTTTCCTCTCCAACACTGACTGAAGAAGGTCTTATTTCCTTGATGGATCAGTTTGTTCAGTGAGCGTAATTTCTTTTTTGTTTTGCTACTTATCAACCAGCCATTAAGCCATGTCCAGCTTTGCAGAATCTTTCATTTAGTTACAGACATCTAAGTACTATATCTGGAATCCTGTATTTGTCCATGTTGAAAATTAGTTGAACACAGAATTCCTAAGGTTTTACTTTAAATACTTAAACAACTTGTTTAAAAGCCTATTTGGAATGAGTATTTACCAATATTATGGATAAAAAGTCAATTGAAATAACAATCCAGAGGGGTTTTGGTTTACTTGTAGAATGTGGTTTGTGTCCTGCAAAGGATTAACCAATCAGCTTGGAGATGAATAAA